AAATTTTTGGCAGGGTTTTGCACTTTTTTGTTGTCACAATAGCGATAAAATAAGCTTCAAAAACTAATTTTCCTAGTGTCGGAATAATGTTTTTAGGACCTATTTCCGTATTATTGGCTTGCGCGTTCGCTATGCTTGGTCGAAGTTAGACCAAAAATCATAAAAGATTCAAAAAGACAAAAAACATCCTAAAAAATCTTTCAAAAGGTTCTAATCACGATTGCATTAAGAGTTTTTCATGATAAAACGCTCAGCTGCTTCCGGCAATTAGTTTTGGTAAATGATTTTCCAATTTTTTTTTAAAAAAAGAAAGAAAGAAGAAAAGCAAAAATCTAAGACACGCACGAAAAAAAGTTTTCTCCCACTTTCAGCAGTCGGAAAAAAGCAAATGAGCGTTAGCTGTGCAAGCAGCACAGACAAATCCGACCGCAAAATTTATTTATAAAAAAATTTCAAATTGTGTGGTTTTTGCTTAACTGATAAAAGGATCTGAAAGAAATCCTGGAAATTTGGCATTTTTGATAGTCAACAACATATAGGCATATTCGACAATAAGTTTCATAAAAAAAAAAGTAGATGATAGAAAAAAGTATTAGAAAAATTCTCAAAAAAAAACTTTTCTGAAATTATGACTTTTTTGCAGAATATTTTATTAAATTTTAGAAAAATGTTCAGAAAGAGACGCCAAAAAACAAAAAACTTCAAAACTAATATTACTGGAGAAAAACTAGGTTTTCATACTAGAAATAAAAACATATCACCCTATGAAATGCCTGCTCGGTCACAATTTTTGCTAGAAATTGAAACTAAACCAAAAAAAGTATATATATTTTAGACCCATTTCGATTGTTATTTGTGGTATATCAATTTGCGCGGATTTGTTTTTTAAAAGAGAGATCATCAAAAAGAAAAATGCTCCCCAGAACAAAAAGTAAGCAAGTATCGACGTGTTTTTCAAGAAATTAAACAAACAAATTTTTGAAAACAATTTTTGCTAATATTTGGATCAACCGTACAATTTGCACCCCAGGTCAATTTAGGGGGGATAAAATATAAGTTTTTCATAAGCTAACTTTGAGAATAGCCTAGATTCGTTCATAGTTTGTCTTAATACTATATGAAATTGAATTAAAACGTTATTTTGTGTGAAAATAGCATGCAAATCCAGCATAAGAAATGTAAAAATTTGTTTAGTATTTAATAACTTTCATAATTAATACATGCATGAGGAGGGCATTCTACTGTAGATCACTTACGGTGGAGATTACAATGTTGATCCCAAAATTTTATGGTTTTCTTTGGGAAAGGATGGATGAGACAGAGATATCTCTTCTTAAGGAAATGAACCTAACCCTAGCCAGAGTTATGAGGCTTTAAATCGGTCCAACGCATAAAAGTGACTCTGCAGTCTCAGTTTCACTTTACTCAGTTACTGTAGACTAAAAAATTTTCCACTGATAATCATAAATTTGTCCTGAGAATAGTCATGTTTGCTAAATTTCAAGTTATTCTAAATGAGCGTTCGATTTAATTTCGAGTTTCGATTAAAAATACTCGAGTTCAGAGAACGAACTTTTTAGTAAAATTTATTAATTTTGAAAAAAAATGGCATCGACCATAGCTATATTCTTTCAGTGATTTAATCTTGACATAAGGGTACCTTTCAAACGTTAATGAATTCCACTAGATAAAGGAACTCTTCTAACAAGAGTTAAAAGTAAAATATCGGGCTAAAATTTGAACTTCCTAATTTTCCCTGATTTTCTTTCATATCTTGATGAAATTTACTTTTTGAATTGGACAAGGGGTAATTTAGGCGCACGTTTTCCCGACTTCAAAACTAACATCGGGATAGCTCGGTCCAATTAGAGTATGAGAAATGTGCCTACTATCTTAAGCTTTGAATTCAAAAGTATTGCATCCTTCAAAAAAAAATCTTTTTTTCTTAACCCATTTTGTCAGAGGTCACATAGAAGGAACAAAAAAAAATTTTTGTGCGCTTGATTAAATCTCAATCAAAATAGTAAAACAGGAAATAATTTCAAAATGTAATAGTTACTATATAAGGAAACTGAATCATCTAAGTGAGATTTTTGTTTTTCAAAATTCGTTTTTTCAAAAAAGTTTCGTATCTTCAAAAAAATCAAAATTTGTTTCCAATAGCATCTTGAAGTTTAAAATTTCATTTTTTTTCCATTATAGGAAGTCCTACTTAAAAAATCTGCTTTTTAAAAACTTTAAACAACCTGCCATCGGCAATCAAAATTTCTCTCTTTGACCAGAAAATCTTTCCAAACCATTTCTTTGTATAATTTAACCCGGGGTTACTTTGTTTTTCTTTGTCCTTGTCGGTTGTTATTGTTTGTCTCGGTACCCTAAGGAAAAATAAAACAGCTATTTACGCAGTGTCATTTTCAGTAAACGGTGACAAAAAATGTTTACAAAAATGACGACCAAACAACCTTGGAAGTCTCTCTTCTACTACAAACTACAAACCATAACCAGACCATAAATTCTAATCAACAGTGGTGCAAAATTGGCCGAAATTTTAATGCTTGGCAGATAAACTTAGTAACTGATTTTTATTATATACTTTACTAAACATTTTTTTTTTCAAAAGTTTCCTATTCGTAAGTTTGTATTTTGTTTGGACCAAAAATATTAGCTGGCAGTTTAACGTCTACTAAATCTTTTATTAAGTCAAAACAAAATGTCTACTTTTCTCAAAAAGGACAGTAGGCAGCCAATTATTTCTAGAATGAATTCCAGAATTCCAGAAACCGGAAAAGAATGTAATATTTCCCCATTAGTAGTCATTGCTCTAAATATTATGTTATTGATTTATTTGGTTGGGTCCTTTTAGTTTCAGAAAAATTGCGAATGAAAAATAATTTATAAAATAGAAAGCACGGATCTAAGATATTACAGGAGAGGAAAATTTTCAGTAATGCTTAAAACGTTTTGTCGACTATTTTTTTAGGTCGGCAAAATTGTTTTTCATAAAAAAATTTAAATCAATTTAAACATCACCAAATATCACTGATTTTCTTACCGCAAAGGAATTGTAACAAACGAGCAAAAAGTTCCGTTTTGGGTTCTTTTTGGAAAGTTTTTATCAAAGACTGCGTTTTTTCTACACCAATTCCTCAAATTTAATCTATATTGGCGCCTTGTGAAAACAAAGCATCAATCGGACGAAAACGGATATATTACCATAGTATCGAAAAGGGGAACTTAGAGGCCAGTAGTCAGGGGATCGAATCCCCGCGTCCTAATAATTCTGCAACGGTGATTTTGTAATTTTGTGGTTCAATTCCGATCATTATCATTATCATATTTGTTAAATTTCACGTTATTCTAAATGAGCGTTCGATTTATTTCAGAATTTCGATTAAGTTATTCAAACTTATGCTAAAATAGGCTTAAGTACTCGCACTTCATAAAACTGCTTATAATTTTTGTTTTATTTTTTAGTCTGGTAGAACCGATCATTTAAATACACTTTACAAGGGGTGTTCGAAGGCGTGCGTTTTTCAGCCAATCAGATTGCTTCGAATTACCCGCCGCCAATACCCCACATGACATACAAACTGAGCCCGACGGGACAATATTTCCGCTCTGTTACATGCACATTTACCATTTCGGAAAGGGTAAAGAAAGGTCGTTATGGGTAAGAAAATCGCCCCGCTTTGTTTTCCCGACTATTCTAACAAAATAGTTTCCCCCAAAATAGTTTAATTACTTCTTCATTATCGGCGCCAAATCGTGTGATCTAAGAGCATATTTTACCCTTTTGAGATCCGAGTCTGAATTTTAGAGGGTATAAACATCCCCTAGCATTTTCTTTTATTTTTCTGAAATAGAAAAGTTCTTTCAATCCTATTAAAAATTCGATACCCTTTTGTTCAAGAAAAACTGAGTTTTGAGAGCCCTTTAACCTTAGGCTTTTACGTCTTATTTAAATCTTACCTTAGCCCGACTGAATTTTTAAAAAGTCTTTAAAACTGACCAAAAGTCTCGTTTCCAAAAAAAATACATATGATGGAATATTTCTGCTAAAAACGTACTTCATCAAACATTTTTTCAAAAAGCAATTAACTGATCCTGAAATTGCATTACTTTCTTTAGGATTTGAAGGACTATTATTTTCTACAAATGATGGCAAACTACTTTCTCAAGTTCATTTCCAACATTGAATTTACTAATTAAGACTCAAATTACCTAGTTTTTCAGTTATCCCAGCCTAAAATCTCGCCTCCATTCATTTATTTACAAAAAGTAAGAACTCGCCTGACTTCTAGGGCGTATACTTGAAAAAATCTACTAAAAAAAGGGAAATTTCCGAGAAAATCGGCTTATTTATTTGGATTTATCGACCAAGTGAACAATATCCCCCCTGATTCAAATTTAATTTTGTCGGTAATTTTCCTCAAAGCAATTTGTCCTTCAACTTCGAAAATCTTGCTTATTTTTTCAATTTTATGCAACTTTAATATTCACCGACCAACTAGATTTCACTTTGAACACAATTTGCGCCGGTTTAAATTTGCATTATAAATTCTAAAGAGCATCTGATTTTGACGGTCTGTGACACTTGAAGTTTACCGGTTGAAAATTAGTCCCGCTTCATTTTAAAATATCGAATCAATTTCAATATTTCTTCTATCACCATCAACTCTTAGTTTTAATGATGAAATTTCTGTCAACCAATTTGAGCAAACTTCAGTTCTTGTAAAATACAAATGTTGCAGAATAGTATTCAAATTTCCTGGAAATTTATTTATCTTATACTTTGTCCCACAAATAACTCACGTGAAGATCTGTAAAATTAAATAGCAATCATTTAATTGTTTTATTTATCTTTCATTCCAATAATTAATTCCAATAATTAATTAAACCGAAACAATTTTTGGAATTTTATAATTAAATTGAAAGGAAAAACTACCCAATTGGTTCCAGACCCAAACACCTATCCAGACTCTGGCCCCAGCCCAAAAACGACATCTTGGGGGTGTGTCAAGTCGAACACAAATCTAACCAGAAAAAAAACAAGACTCCGAAACATAGAGTTCCTGTCTCAATCAATTGGCATCAATAACCCCTAACTCGATTCAAGAACCCTCTGAACTCATACGCAGTGGCTCCGTTTTCTCTTTCTCTTCAACAAACACGACTCGGCAAGTATGTTTCGGAGACGCTTCTCGGCCAACGGGACTGTGATTGGACCCTGGTGGGAGGATTCGGAGTTTTCACCCGATGAGTCGCTCATCTTCTACCTATTCGGTGTTGTGTTGTGTGCTGTGATCTGCATAGGTCTAACTGGAAACTTCATGACTATTGTCATCTTTGCAAGGCTAGATTTTCTTCTTTTTTCATTTTCATCGCCATAATTTCATTTCTTTTTAAAAACCGACTGATGAAGAACCTGAAGTTAATAACACTTGATGTTACAAAACTTCATGATTAAAATCAACTTCTCAAGGTCAGATCATCATTTTTTATTTTATTTGGTGCTTCATCAAATGTTTTAAACCTAAATAGTTCTTTTATTTATGTTAAAGGCTCATTTTGAAAAAAAATTACAATTAAAACATACTACGATAGCAAAATCAAAAGTTTTTAAGTTTTACAGGGAGAGTCGAAAATTTTGCTTTCTTGTGAGAATGCTATTACGACGAAGATTTTGCCAGAAAACAAATTAACTACAGTGTTTTACGGACACACCCCCAAGCACGTAAAATTTTGACACACCCCCAAGCACGTTGAGTTTTTGAGCTGAAGTTTTTCCATGAATGCTTTCATTAAAATAGAAAAGTGTTGACGCAGTTGTTTTGTTTTTAACCAACTGCTGCAAAATAGGTTTGCTTTTAAATGTGTAACATAATTTTCAATCAAAAAATCTCCGTCGTTCACGGCAAAAAAAACGGTTGCTTAATGGTTAGTTGATCTCCAAAAGCGCTGAAAGATGGTAGCTTCTGGATCAGCGCTTAAACTCTTAGTATTCATTTTCTACTGAATATTCAGTGCTAAACCACCGGTAAATGCAGTTTATTATATCTATTCAATATTGCATGATTGAACCATAAATCTGCGGTGAAAATAGGTTTGAAATGAACTACAGCAGATTTATCGATAAGCTTAACAAAACTTTTTTGAAGGTTCAAAATTTCTTCATTTAAAAAACAATTCATCGGAAAAGCGGTTTGATTATACTCAAAAATTCAGGCTTTTATAAAACGACTTTTTCGATAACTACAAAAGATTTCAAAAAGGCTTTCTTGTAAAGCAGACAATTTAATTTCTGAAACCCACAGACGGATTATCATTGATTTCAGACAGTTGCCTAAATATGAATTAAGTCCAAAAGTTTTTTTTTCAGTGTCTCAACATTTTAAGAAATTCGCAAACAAATGGTATCTTCATGTGACGGAATTTTAAAAAATGGAAAGTTCTCACTGGTTTAATTCAACCAGTTGCTCTGAATAGAAAGACGCTAGCAAATCATTGACAGACCCCCTAAATTAAGCGTAGGTAGATGCAACAAAAGTTTTCTTAATGAAGCCGGCCAAAAAACCTGTATTAAAAAAACTTTTGTTGCATCTCGCTACCCTTTATTTAGGGAGTGTGTCAATGCTTTGCTAACGTCATTTAATTGAGAGCAATTGCTTGAATGAAACCAGTGAGAAGTTTTCATTTTTTTTAAAAACTTCGTCCCATAATAAACATACCACTTGTCTGCGAACTTTTCAAAATACAAGGTTGAGACACTGAAAAAAAATTTTTTGGACTTAATTCATATTTAGGCAGCTGCCTGAAATCAATGATAACCCGTCCTTGAGTTTCACAATGTAAATAAACTTTTTTGATGAATCTATTAAAACAATCTGATTGTGAACAAAATTTTTTGAGTAATAAAGGTTTTATAAACGTCTCGATGGTTTTTTTCTACTCATGTTTAACTGTTTGACTCATTAAACTCCACACACTATTCGGTTTCATTCATTCAGACCGTCGCTTGTGATTGATTAATTGGTGTCGAATCGTTTTTGGTATATGAAATCTTGACAAACTACAAACTTTAGGCTGTTAATTTCAATGTGTCAAAATTTGAGTCATTCATTGAATAAATAAGACCAATTAGCTTGCCTCAATTCAATTTGGAACGATTATGAGTGCATCATAATCGTTCATTTAGCCAAGCGGAAGCATATTCGCTTGGCAATCACAAAGGTTCCGGAGCGATGCCCATACGCTTTCAATTTTTCTAAAATTGGTCTAACTAAAAACCACCGGGGAATATATACTCCTCATTTTCTTCTAAAGTCGGAACAAAAAGAACTGTTAGCAGGGATAAACCAAACTTTATATGTAGTTGGAATTGATTGACTGAAAATTTTCACGCTTCGGTGCTCTACGTCATACATCCCGGCTTTTTTATAACTCATTTGATCAATTACATCATTCTCAGAAGAAAGTTCAGTTTTAGACAAATTTGTTTCTTCAATTAGTTTCCGAGTTTTAGTACGTTACCCGCATTGGAGTTTCATGAATAAAAATCGATTATAATTGAGTTTCCATGTCAGTGTCCACAAAACTGAAAACAAATCGATTATAATCAATTAAAAATGGATTATAAAATTACTTATTTTCGAGGCAACAAAATCATTTCTTCATCCATTATAATCGATTTTTTTCACTTTTTTGGACACTCACAATGAAACTAAACTTAAATCAATTTTTTTCCACTTTACTGAGACGCGAATTTCAACGCACATAAAGTCTTTTCTACGTTTTCAAATAAAGTTGGTTACGTTGGTTACTTGTTGTTCAATTGAATTTTTTTCTACCTAACTTTGATATTTTTGTTATTACTCCCCTAGCATTTGCCCATTTAGAACAAACACCCCTCTCCCCCCCAACTGAACGTGTTCAGGTGGGGGTGTTCGGGTGGGGGAGGGGGTTCAGTTGGGGTGGGTTTAGGTGGGGGTGGGTTTAGGTGGGGGTGGGTTTAGGTGGGGGTGGGTATAGGTGAGGGGGGGGGGGGGTGGGTTCAGGTGGGGGGTGTGGGTTCAGGTGAGGGGGGGTGTATGTGTGTGTGTGGGTTCAGGTGTAGGGGGTTCAGGTGGGGGTGGGTTTAGGTGGGGTGGGTTTAGGTGGGGGTGGGTTCAGTTGGGGGTGTGGGTTCAGGTGAGGGGGGGCTCAGGTGGGGAGGGGAGTGTTCAGGTGGGGGGTTCAGTGGGGGGAGGGGAGCAAAGGGGTAAACGTTAGGGGGATTGAAGGGGAGCAAAGGGGCAAACATTGGGGGGGGGAGCTAAACGGAATGTTTTTGCAATTTGAGTTTAGGTTTTTAAATGCATTAGGCCAGGCCAGGCCGTACACTCGCTTTGCAAAGTTTCCGAATCACTCACTTGATAAATGTTGACATTTTTGCAAAGATTTTGCACGCCGCGCGAAACAAAAATAAGGTGGAAAAAAATCCATATTAATGTGATTTCCTACTTAATATAAAATCCATTATAATGGATCCAAAATGAATTATAATGCATTTTGTTTTGGCGAGAAAAAATGGATTTAAATCCATTTTTAGTCCATTTTTGTTGTCTGAACGTAACATGGGAATCGGTTATATTTACAACATTAGAGACCACGAAAATCCATTATAATCGATTTGTTTTCACTTTTCTTAAATGCGGATAGGCCGTTTAAACTCGTTGTTCAGAGCACTTCACATAATTTAGCGTGATTTTTCCTCCCCGGGTCGAGGTCCCAGACTCATGTCCAGACTTTGAGGATCCTGATTTTGACCAATTCAAAAATAACTCGTAAGGATCAAGTGTGATGTCAACTTAAAACCCTTCCAGTCAAAAAATGGATCCAAATGCGTTGAATTAGTTGTCTGTGTCGAGAAAAAAGGTCTCTAATTTTAGTTTTTCAAACTAAAAGGCAACTTATATTTAACCAGAGACTGAACACTCAAAACAATTATACTGTTTGTTAACTATTGTTAATTACTACTATTGCAGCTGTTGTCTACATCGACTGGCGACGTTCTAGCAGGAGCAAAAAGGAAATTCCAAAAAATTAATTTATTAAAATATTTTCAAGTTTTTTTCTGAGCACAACTATTGTTTTACAGAAAAATAATTATCAACAATTATTACAAAATCATGCAATGTCGAACTTTAATTCACTGCAACAAGAAACCTTAGCTTGGTCTAAGCTTACCACTTTTGATGCACCTATAATTGCTTTTGCAGAGAGATGCTACGGAAAAAAAACTCTTTTTTTCTAAATGATTCAGTCGAGGCGTTAGGAATACGGGAGCGTATGTTAATGTCAAAATATTATACTTTCAACTGATAAAGCTAAGCGCGTAACCTTAATTTATGAAGTCTTTGCGTTAGAAATATTTAGTGAGCGGGTTCAAAGAGATTTGTTATTCCGACTTTAGTAACGAAGGTAACAGAATATTTGTGCTCGGGTGGTTTTTTTTCTTCAACCATATTTCGACTTATTAACTAGTCATTTTTGACAAAAAAAATTAAATCATCCAAAAAGTATTGTTGTTCTGAGCTTAAACTCAAATAAACATTTCACCTATGATCAATTATTGTAAAGTTACGAGGGTTTAACGATAACCATTTTGGTCAATTTGGAACAGTAAACGCGTGATATATTTCGATCTATTAACGCGTAAGCAGAGATTGATTCATCCTTCAAAATTGTTCTAAAATGGTTGAAAGAAGCTTATTTGCCATAATTGATTTGTTACTAGGAGCGCAATCTATCACTTTGTACTTTATATGGTGTGTGGAATTTGATTAAGTTTTGATTAAGACCATTTATCCACGGGGGAAAGGACCAACACAAGAGCTGTACAGCTCTTCACGGCAAACCGCTGTTGTGCCCCTGTTTTAAAAACTACATGCTATTTTTTTTTGGTTTTTTTTTGGGCTGGGTAATGTTGCTTCACCCTCAAGCAACGAGCACGGATCATGGTGGGCCTCGAACATCCGACCGATTGAGAGGCGGAGACGTAACCACTTCACCACCGCTCCCCTAATGATGATTCATACAAAAAACTCACTTTTTAAAAAAAACATAATTTATTTTTATTTTATTACACTTATTTTATATGTAATTACTGCTCCACAGATCTTAAAAAGCAGTCAGAAATTTCAGGGCTTCGCCCTGATTCGAGTAGCCTTGTTCCTATTAAAATTTGTCGTTTTACTTCGTTATTTATCTTACCATCAGATTTTGTTTGATTCCATTGAATGTTTTCTAATGCGAACTCTTGGGAAAGTTTGATGTGCGAAATTCAGCTGATATCTGCTGTGAACACGCCAACAC